CATCTTGTTTGGTCAGGTCCATTTAATGGACACCCTTCATGCCTCAAGGAGCTGGCCTGAGCTACTGGGGATACAGAAAGAAATCAGACACGTGAGGCCCCATTTTCCCGATCCCAGTCTCTAAGAGAGACAGATGAGGCAACCGTCAGTTACAAGTTATTTGTCAAGATGAAGTAATGGCAGGTGCCACACAAGTCCAGGGAAGAGGCCTACCTCTGACTCAGACTTGGTGGCCAAGGAAGGTTTCCTGGAAGAGGTGATATCCAAGCTGAGGCTCAATGGGCGGTTAGGTGAAGATGGCAGAGAGAGCACATTTGGAGGCCCAGAGGTGGCAGCAAGCATGGCATTTTATTCTGAGGGCAGTGGGGAGACATGAAGGGGTTTGAAGCAGAGGAGTAATGTGCTCAGGGCTGTGCTTTGGGAAGATCGCTGGGCTCTGACTGCGTGCCTCTTGTGTCCATAGGCAACTGTATGCTCCATGAGGCTGAGAAGCTCCGATTCGTCCCAGAATCTCCCTAAGCCTTTGTCATGTGCCTCAAGTACTAGATGTTCAATACATCCCAGAGAAGATGGGAATACCAAAGCCCTGCCTTCAAGGACTCTCCTGGCTGGCTGGAGAGCCAGACATCAAGCAGTTATCTGGCCCTACAGAAAAGGATGCCCTCAGCCCCAGAGGGGTGCTATGGACCAGGCATATAGGTGCTCAGACAAGAGAGAGGTTTGGGAAGGCTGAGGTAGTCAGGGCCAGTTTCCTGGGGAAGGTAGGGCAGGTGCTGGGCCTTGTGAGATATGTGAGATTGGAGAAAGCAATTGGGCGGGGCACGGTAGGCTCACGCCTATAATCTCAGCACTTTGAGAGGCCAGGGCGGGTGGATCACTTGAGGTCAGGAGTTAGAGATTAGCCTGGCCAACATGCTGAAACCCCATCTCTACTAAAAATAAAAATAAAAAAAATAGGCAGGCATGGTGGCGTGCACCTGTAATCCCAGCTACTTGGGAGGCTGAGACATTGCTTGAACCTGGGAGGCAGAGGGTGGGGTGAGCCGAGATCACCACGCCATTGCATGCCAGCCTTGGCGATGAAGCAAGACTCTTGTCTCAAAAAATAAAAATAAAGATAAAGCAATCCTATGGGAATGCTGTGTCCTTTATGGGATGGAGGCCTTCTCAGGCTTGGGAGGCTGCATGGTGGCATGAAGAGGCCCAGCACTTAGCCTTAGAAAACATAAGCAGGCTTGGTGCCTCATGCCTGCAGTCCCAGCTACCCAGGAGGATTTCTTGAGCCCAGGAGGTTGAGGCTGCCATGAGCCATGATTGCGCCACTACACTCCAGCCTGGGTGACAGAGCGAGACCTTGTTTAAAAAAAAAAGGAAAAAAAAGAAAAACATCCGAGTCCAAGACCTACTTGGCCATAGGCAAGCAGCACATGTCTTGACTGTGGCTGGATCGTGGTTTCTATGTATGAAGACGCCTGATGATGGCTTTCGGCCTGCTCTGTCTTCCCCTCTCCAGCTCAAAAGTACTCACTGCAGAGTTCTGGTCCATCTCAAGGGATCCCTGGCCCCCTCCACCAGGACTTAATTTCTAACATCAAAGAGTCATTTTAAGACCTGTTGTGGGGCCGGGCGCGGTGGCTCAAGCCTGTAATCCCAGCACTTTGGGAGGCCGAGGCAGGTGGATCACGAGGTCAAGAGATCGAGACGATCCTGCTCAACATGGTGAAACCCTGTCTCTACTAAAAATACAAAAAATTAGCTGGGCATGGTGGTGCGTGCCTGTAATCCCAGCTACTCAGGAGGCTGAGGCAGGAGAATTGCCTGAACCTGGGAGGCGGAGGTTGCGGTGAGCCGAGATCGTGCCATTGCACTCCAGCCTGGGTAACATGAGTGAAACTCCGTCTCAAAAAAAAAAAAAAAAAACCTGTTGTGGCAGGACAGAGCCTAAAATACCCTGGGCTCGGGTGTAGGAAAGAGCCGGATTCCCCTCCAGCAACATCATGGGAGCTGGGATCCCAATGATGTATTCACTTAACCTTGGTCATTTGTTTCTTTCTTATAGATAAGTTTCCAAATTACCTTTCCTGTTTTCTCATCTGTAAAATGGGTACAATAATTCCTGTTCTCCCAGAGCTGGCAAGAGGATTACATGAGAGACTGGTGTGTGCCTGGTGGTAGACATTATCAGGAATATCACTGATGTGCATTGATGGCACAGGAGAACTGTGACCACCAGGTGGCAGCAGGGATCTTCCAATCAGCTAAGGGAAGGCTGGGAAGGGCCTTCGGGATCAATCCAAAATGCCCATGGTGCCAGGCTGTTAGTGGAGATGAGAAGAAGGGCGAAGTGAAAGGCATTAGTGGGTGGTGGGGGCTGTGTTGACCAAAGCATGCACACTCATTCTAAAGAGCTGTAGCTTCTTGGCTCCAAACAACTGCTCCCACATCAGAAGGAGGGCATCGTGGTATCATTCTGATGTTTCAAGAGAAGCCGCCAGGTACCAGAGTTTTTGTTTGTTTATTTATTTGATCATATATATATATTTTTTGAGACGAAGTCTTGCTCTGTCTTGCCCAGGTTGGAGTGCAGTGGCATTATTTCGGCTCACTGCAGCCTCTGCCTCCCGGGTTCAAGCAATTTTCCTGTCTCAGCCTCCCGAATAGCTGGGATTACAGGCATGCGCCACCACGCCCAGCTAATTTTGTATTTTAGGTAGAGACAGGGTTTCACCATGTTGGTCAGGCTGGCCTCGAACTCCCGACCTCAGGTGATCCACTCTCCTCGGCCTCACAAAGTGCTGGGAATACAGGTGTGAGCCACCGTGTCCGGCCTATTTTTATTTTTTGATGTGACATCTATGTGGAGATTTCGTGGTCCACAACAGTTTGCCTCTTTGCGTTGAGTGCTTTGGGTGAAGATCTTCTCTGAAGAATTACTTTCATGTCTTTGTATTTCCTGTGAAATTTCTTTCTGTGTCCTCACTTGACTGTTCCCTTCATGGGACATTAATTCGCTTCCTTAGATCTTTGAGAAGCATTGCTTCATTTGTTGTGATTGCTATTATTGTTGTTATTGTCTTCCAACTTTTATTGTTGGTCATATCGTCTGTCCCACTAGACAGGTTCCCCATAATACCTACCATACAACGTTCTTTGGAGAATTAAATGAGATGCTGACATAAATCACTTAGCCAAGCACCCAGTTCATTAGTGCTCAATAAACATACTTGTCATTATTATGGGGTCTTCAGAGGAATTACATGATGTTTAGAGGAAGATTTGCAGGGCCTGTCTACCTCCCTCTATGTGGGATGCTGATGAGGCCACTCTCTTACGTAGAAGAAGGCCCCTCGTCCTGGGTCCTGAGGTCTTAGCTGGGATTGGGCACAGCTTTTCACTCAGGGGCTGCTGTTACACCACACAGGCATTCCTGAGGCTTTCCTTCCTCTCCCATCCCCGGTGCTGCCAGGCTGGGGCAGTGCTCATGGGTAAAAACACCCCAGGGTCTCCCCTGCCTCTCTCCAGCCATAGGGCATTCTGGCATCCACTGCATCTGCACAAGGACAAGCTCGGCCGGTGATGACCTACCAGACAATAAGCAGGCACCCTGAATACTGATGGAGCAGTTCCTCTGGTCATAGGCTCAGGGCACTTTGCAGCCAGGAGCATCCTTTCCGGTGTTTCCAGGGGATGCAGCAGCTTTGGGGCCCAGGAGTCTGCTGGAGGCTTCAGGAGAAGCTTAGGGAGTGAAAAGAAGTGGGGACCAGGTGTGTCCTCACGGACGATCACTTATGGCTGGGCGCAGGAGCACTAGCTGCTGGTGTTCAGTTAATCCTGGAGGTCTCAGGCAGCTGCCTATTTCTAGGACATCTCGGATTGCTTCTGCGTTCCCCATCTTGGGCTTGTCTGCCTGTCATTGGTCCTCCTGGGTCTGGATGTCCTCAGGGCCTATGAGTGGAAACTGAGTTCTAAACAGCGGCTGCCAGTTTGGGA